TATTAAAATACTATGATATCATTGGTTGTAAACTATGACAATGATAAAGGCGTCAATCTCGCGCTGTGTGCTCGAGCCGTAAGCTACAAGCGGCACGGTCAAATGAAAACGACTCTAAGACCCTGTTTTCATGAGATAGGGTGCCCCTAGTGGTAGGGCCAAAATCCTTTGTTTTCAATCCTCCAGGGAAAAGAAAACAAAAGAGTTAGCCCTACCACGTAGAGGCAATCTTAGTCTCCTCCCTAGACAACTCTTTTTTCCTCCTTTGGGCTTCCTTTGTAACGGTCATCTTGGCCACTAGGGACTCTTTTCTCGCCCCCATTCTCTCTCTTTTGACTCCCAAAAAAGACAGGAAGCCCGTGATTCTTTGTGATGCCTRCGGAGGAGGCTAGGGCACTCTATCTCATGTAAACAGGGTCTAACTCGTCCGTTCATTTGATTTGTTACTAGGATACAAGAGTGGCGATGGTGTACCAAAGCTTGTAGARGACTACTTGTCTGGAACATTGAAGGTAGACGAGTTCATAACACATAATCTACCGCTGGATAAGATCAACGAAGGGTTCTCTCTCATGCATAGTGGAGAAAGGTAATGCAAGCGGTTTTGAAAATTAGGCCGAATTTTTGCTATTTGATTTTGAAATGGCAAAAATTCTGTGATTACTCGCGTGCTTAAATAAAGTAACACTTTAGTCTAAAGTGTATAAGGGCATTAAACCCGTGAAACAAAACCTGATAATTCAAATGTCAAATAGACAAATGAAAGCAATGCAATTAGAGCGTACTAAGGTATATTAGTGTAGTATCTATTTCACAGGTTTATCTATGTTTAATCTATGTATTTTTGTATATTATTATTTTTTTTATCTTTTCAGCATCCGTTCAATCATCCACTTTTAAAGGCTTGTGCTGTTTTAGATAAATTGATAGAATTGTAACAATAAAAACTGAATTGATTTGAAAAAGACAGAAAACTCATTATCCATGATTAAACAGAAGATGATTTGAAAAATTGAGCAAGATTGTTATA